GATATAGTGGTGTCTAACATCTTTGCAGGAACAGATTATATTCTGTTGTAATCAAACGCTACCTTGCCGTAGGCGTGGTTCTCTCCGTAGGTGCCTGGTTCGATTCCGCTCCAAGGAAATCTGTCTTTGTCTTATACGCAAGATTCTGTCAGCTAGAAATTTACTTCACGCTACTTCGGAACCAAATTTTTCAATTGGTGATGCGCTGAACTCAAAACCAAGAAACCACTGGTTCGAATCCCGGTTAGGATCACTTATCTTTCTCTTTTTCTTGTGTTACCGTGAAATCATTCGAATTCACAGGATTTGATTTGCAGGTTAAACCGTCGTGTCGAAAAGCACTTATTTAAACGAATGGTCCAGAGGACACAATGCCTATCTGTAGTGTGAGTCATTTCAAGTTTCCGTAGCGGCGTCGCACGCAGCTGTTTCGAGGATGAGGGAAATTGTTCATATTCAGGCCGGTCAGTGCGGCAACCAAATTGGAGCAAAGGTGAGAAAATGAATGATTTCGTCTCTCTTCCTTCTGTGGCTTTGAAATCTGCCTTTTGAGTGAGGCAAAAAATGGAATAACAGTTTTCGTTTCAGAAAACATGTGATTTCTTGCTGTGCGATTTCATCGCTGAAATTTTGCTCCTTCGCTGGCTGGTGTGCGTTACTTGTTTTGCTTCTAGTTCTGGGAAGTGATCTCAGACGAGCATGGCATCGATCCGACAGGAACGTACCACGGTGATTCAGACTTGCAATTAGAACGCATCAACGTGTACTACAATGAGGCTACGGGAGGAAAATATGTTCCTCGAGCGATTCTGGTCGATCTGGAACCAGGCACGATGGACAGTGTTCGAGCTGGACCATTTGGACAACTTTTCAGACCGGATAACTTCATTTTCGGTATTTCATGAAGCAGGAGAAAATTTTTCACTTAACTCTGACATTAATTAGGTCAAAGCGGTGCCGGTAACAACTGGGCGAAGGGACATTACACAGAAGGCGCCGAATTAGTTGACAGCGTGCTAGACGTCATTCGAAAAGAGTCTGAGAGCTGTGACTGTCTTCAAGGATTCCAGCTCACTCATTCCCTTGGCGGTGGAACCGGTAGTGGCATGGGAACGCTGCTTATCTCCAAAATTAGGGAAGAATATCCAGATCGAATAATGACGACGTTTAGCGTCGTTCCTTCTCCTAAGGTAATCACTTTTATCGATTTTGTTCTGAGGTTTTTCGCCAGTCTGCGTTGTGAAAGCATCATCCAGCAATGCAGTTCAGCCATAATTTTGTCTGCATTACCTTGCGTCAAAGATCTGCCTTGTAATCAACCTATGCTTTATGACCAGTTTGTCTGTCAATTCCGCTATATTCTGTACTCGATTGATATAGCTGTAAAGATTGTGATCCATGGACTAGTTAAAAAGGTACACATTTGAAACTGAGTTCTAAGCTTTTATGAGATGTTATTTTACTGAACAGAGGGTAAATTAAACCTTAGATTATCAAAAGAAATATTGGGGAACCTGTCATTAAGAACTGCAGTTTTGAATTTGTCTTCAAAAGTAAAATAATAGTTTCGTCATATTTGGAAATTATGAAGAATTTAGTAAGGATGTAATGCGATTTTAAGTGAGTGGCATTTTAATGACTGAATTCGGAGCTTAGTTGAATATCAGTGCATTAAAATACAAGACTCTGTTGGACGTTTATGACACATCTGAAACGTTGCTGTAAATGAATCATGCAATCGCCGATTTATATTAAACAAGTGAATGCCATGGATGTATCGATTTATCTTTCACCTTAACTTTTTACTCCTCCTGTCATTAGCAGTTTCGCAGGCGAGAATTGCTTATCGAAAAGGAAATTACCCTGATGCATTTCATTCTGTAGTGAATGATGATAGGATCTGTCTTAAAGCAGCGTAGAGTTGTCTTGGCAGATAAAAGCAGTTGATAGTTATTTGGTAAATATTGTTGTTGCCAGGTTTTACACCTTTTAGCTCTTTTGTCGCCATTTTTTATAGAATTTTTCCTATTTCTAAAGAAGAAATATCGTTGACATTTTGGGTCGACTAGCACTGTCTAGTGTTTGATGCCGCTAGTTAGCCAAATTGATGTATGCGAATCGCTATTTGCACAGAATTATTGCACGACTTTTGCTTCTAGCGGCATAGCACGTCCATTTGAGCTGGCCATGGATACATGGTATTGTGCCACAAGCAACGCTTCGGTTCGAAACGGCGTTACCATGTTCCTTCGAACGGAACAACACTGCCGATGCTATAATACTGTGGAATCGTAATTTGTTTAAGGGGTTTCCTAAAGAACAAAAAACTGCGCACTTTGTCAATTTCTGCTCATTGTGTTGTGGCATTATCATTATGAAAATAGGATACACAGCACAGCATTGTCGTTTTTGTCAGATATCATCCGATAGACCACAACTGTTTTGTATATAATTATACATTTGTTTTAATTTTTAGCATTATTATCAATACATCTACAAAATAGACCATTTTGTCTTGTTTCTTATTTTATTTGATATCAGCCAGCAGACAGTTATGCCAGAAGAATAATGCCGTATGCTTAAGAATAAGTCAACTGCATAATATTCATAAGATGTACATTTAGAATGTTGCCAGGAAAATTAAGTTTCGAAACCACTTTAAAAATGCAACGAACCGGCAGAGCAAAGCTTGTATTATTGAAAAATGTTATTGCGCATTTGATCATATAACATTGTTGATTGGTAGCATAAACAATTTCGTAGGTGAGAGGCTTCCCTTCAGCCGTACTCAGGAAATGTTAGTTCAGTGAGGCAGCGTTTAGCCGTACTAGTTATTTTTTAAATCTGAAATGTTTTTACTAGACGCTTAAACAATTCTGGGTAGCGAAGACATTGTTTTATGCAGCCTGTTGATCCTAACCATCAATATTCCAATAGTAAAAGCGTCTTTCAGTAAGTTTTGGATCTGCAAAAGCCACTTCGCGTTTGCGTGTTTTTCGTATGAACAGGATTGCTTCTCAGTATTCGACTTCTATGTTGAAGCGATTAGGCTATCAAGATTTTTGCTGTTAGATCAGTTAGTGTCGATGACCGTTTATTTAGTTCCTGAGGTAGCAGCGTCAGGCAGTGTTTCCACTGTTACTGGTCCTGTGCTATCGTCTGAGTTTCGACAAAAAAAACTGGTTTGGAGTATCGTTCACCAGTACACTTGTCCCATATCAGTATTGCTCCTCCCGGAGTATTCTTACCCTTAGATAACCACAGAAACTGCTATTCGAGGCCCTTGGAAAAACGGAAATTAGCTTTCTTAAAACAGAAAAATGACGGCTAGAGAATAGTCGGGAAAGTGATAAAGGAAAAGTAGCATTCGGTAAGATAGGCCTTCAGAATTCATGCTGATCTGCTTGACTTCCAGCACATGACCCAAACTTAACACAAAATCATTATAACTACCAGTTGCTGCTTGTGTTTATTTTAAAAACTGAGGACAGAAAATAAATATCCTTTTCCTTTCACTTGGATGATTAATGTGATATAGTCTTATAGGCATTTTTTCCGTCATTATTATTCCATTTTCTGATATCCAAATTTTCCTTCCTGCTTGACCTTTAAAGTTTTCCTACGTTCACAAGCTGAGCGGCATTACATACAGATTTCGTTATACTTTCGATAGGAAATCAATTTCTACGGTGGCACTCGTTTCTCTCACGAAGTCACAACATTATTTTAGACAACTGTCTCAAAAGAAACGAATTTTTCTGATCCCAGTAAGCAATGATTGTATGCAGTTGGCTCTTGTAAGCGTCATGACAGTCCTTCAAGATGTATTCATGTCCGCGTATATACGCCAGTTATTTTTGCTCATTGGTGTGTCCCGGCTGCCAGTGGTTCATTAATTTCGCGTCACTGCTAGTTTGAGGTCTTTTACACAGCCTTTTTAAGATATCGTTGTCGTTTTTTGCGCTGACGGGTGTATCCTGTTTAAAAGATCAGTTCCGAACTATACAAAAGTATAGTCACATAGTCACTGCGTCATGTATAGAAGTAGATATTCCTTCTGATTCAACTGTTAATTGCAAATAAGACAAAACTTTTTTTTAGTTAATAAATATCGATTCCGGATTGAAACGGCGAAAACGCGGTGTAAATAACGGAAAATTCAATTCTTACTTTACACAGATACTGCGGTGATGTAAGACTAATGAAAATCTTACGCTAGATAGTACCACAGTCTTGCACAGCGCCCTTGCTTATGGTCATCTAGTGGAACCATTTACTCAGAATACGATTCCATGGTCTTTAAAAACATTTATCTAACATGATGTGTTAGAGTTTTTTACCTTTTATATTGTAAACCGTGGAATTTTGAAGATTTATTATATTACGGCTATAATGGAACTCCTCTGTTTTATGAGTTTAAGTCATTTACTTGGCGTATACATTTTTTAACAGTGCATGATCTTTTACAACAGTGTTTTAATTCCATCGACGCATCTTACAACGTTGTTTTTTAGGTCTCTGATACGGTTGTGGAGCCGTACAATGCGACACTCTCTGTACACCAGCTGGTAGAAAATACAGACGAAACTTTCTGCATAGATAACGAAGCGCTTTACGATATTTGCTTCCGTACTTTAAAACTTACCACCCCGACTTACGGAGATTTAAACCACCTGGTTTCTGCCACTATGTCTGGCGTGACAACATGCTTGCGTTTCCCAGGTCAGTTGAACGCAGACTTACGGAAACTAGCCGTTAACATGGTTCCATTCCCACGATTACACTTTTTTATGCCTGGGTTTACGCCATTGACTTCAAGAGGTATTTAGATGTTTTATTTAACTAAAAGTACTGCTAACAACAGCATTGAAGGTAGCCAAGGATACAGAGCACTTACTGTACCAGAACTTACTCAGCAGATGTTCGATGCCAAGAACATGATGGCAGCTTGCGATCCTCGTCACGGACGATATCTCACCGTGGCAGCAATATTCCGAGGAAGAATGTCAATGAAGGTAAACGATCATATAAAATATGTCAGCAAATAACGCGAGGAGTTATGTTAATGATCAAAGTAATTTGGCGTTGCCCACAGACTCTGCTTGATATAAAAAATACAAAAAATTGCCTTGAACATGTTCTTTTTCATGTATGTTAACAGGAAACTGGTTGTATATTCGAGTTAGCAATATAATTCGCTGAATAGCATTTGTATTTGAGTATTGACACGTATTTTATATTACACGTTCATTTAAAATTGAAAGGCTCTTGATTAAATGGGTTTTTCTAAGAATGTAGACCCATTTAATAGCTTTCAAGTTTCATATCATGTAACATTCAGTGTAGTACTGTCATACGTTTTAGAAAAAATCATTTATTCTGTCGGTCTCTTTTGTTGTTTACCCGTCTCATGTACCCATAAATTAAAGATGTCGCAAACTTGAAGTAATTTTGTTGCACCAAATGATTATGTCAGATTTGAATACACATTTTAAGTTTTATAGTAAATATCTGTCGATTTGTAGTTTATTTAAATGTTTCTCGTATCTTGAACGATTAACTTATCAAGCAGCAGCATTAATTAACTAACTCAATGGAGTTCATTTCTGGCTTTCAGTATTGTATGGCGGATAGGAGAATTGTAAACATTAGGAATTCAGCATGAGAATGATGGTCTTTTACTTTTTAAGAAAGAATTTGTGCTTTATACATGTGCTGTAACATTAACAGGAGAGAAAAATTTAACAGATGTGTTGTAAGAGCTTATTTTGATGTTAGCAATTTTTAGGAAGTTGATGAGCAGATGCTTAATGTACAAAACAAGAATAGTTCTTATTTCGTCGAATGGATTCCTAACAACGTAAAGACAGCTGTGTGCGACATTCCACCTAGAGGTCTTAAGATGTCAGCTACCTTCATTGGCAACTCCACTGCCATCCAGGAACTTTTCAAGCGTATTTCCGAACAGTTTACCGGTATTTGGCTTCTTAAGCGTTTCTAAACAGTTTCGTTTTTATGGTAATGTTTTATAGCGATGTTTCGCCGAAAGGCATTTCTCCACTGGTATACTGGTGAAGGAATGGATGAAATGGAATTTACTGAGGCAGAGAGCAACATGAATGATCTGGTCAGCGAGTATCAGCAATATCAAGAAGCCGGCGTCGAAGAAGATGGAGAGTACGAAGAAGAACAGCAGTATGAGAAGGAATAACCCAACAGACATTTCTGAACATGGACGACCACATACATAGTTGCCAGAGTTTCGTTTTCATTATATTTCCGTCTTCTTTCATTATTTATTCAACAACATATTACAAAATTCATGTTCCACAAGTCCCGTGCAAATCATGCCTTTGTGTCGTATTTTTTACTGTTTTCTTAAGCCATTTTTTAGCTTAATGAATTGACGGCTTTTCTATTATATCAGGTAGCCGTCGTTAATATCGTTAAGCACATTTTTTATTTACTATGTTTCTTTCAGCTGGTTTAAATTTTGTGCTAGTTATAGCGATCTTAAACCATTAAAATCTTTACACTGTTGGTGTATTCGGCGTTCAGTTCGAAAAACCGTAGTTGACCTTTGAATTATTTACTTTTGAAAGAACAATACTTTAAGCTTTTTATGTATATTAACCCATGCTGCAGTTATTATGGTGCTTTACTGATCAAAGGTAGCTCGCGATTGCTGTGAACGTACAGGTTTCTATTGTGAATAATCTGTCTCGCTGAACATTGGTAAAGGACGGGAAAAAATGGTTTTGCATTGCTGATTATGGATTCAGAAAAGGCGAAAGCTATTCGCTTCACCTTTACAACCAGTGACCTCGTTTTTATCACAGAGAAGTTGGGTTCTGTTTTTAGTTCATAACCCAACAACCCAATGCCTTCGTGAATGACACATTGTTAGGCCCCTGGCGATTGATGATCACTGAGCCTCGACTTTTGT